TAGATAGCAACTTTTCGACCCTTAATTAAAAATTTTAATATTTTTAGACCCGAACATTATTCTTTAGCTTAGTTGCCCAAGCACTAGTTCAAAAGTAAGAATTCCGAGGTCTGAAAAATCAAACGGTCGATTCATCATAATCATAAATCTGTTGAAATCTATATTCTGAGAGTACAGATTTCAATCTTACCGTTATTTATTAAAATTAATTAATAATAAAAAAATTGGTTTGTGAAAAAAAGGAAAATTACATTATTTTTTGAATTATTGTCGAATCATTAACTAGTAACTATTTCGATATACGGGTTTAGATTTGAATTTCAAACCCGAGACCCCAAACTCTAAAGGCTATATACCCTATTTCCTCTAATTTGGAGGTCGGTTTTTACTAACGATTTTTTTTTCTCGTTTAGAATTTTAAGATTTTGACTTTGGAAATTTTAATGCATTTGAGTATAATATGAAAGGAATATTTTGTCTTATTTATATTAAAAAGTAAATGTTATATAATAAGGTTTTCTTTATGCTATATTTAAATAATCTAAGTGATGTGATGTGCTCCATAATAATTTAGTAAAGGAATGTTTAGTTATTAGAATATAAATATTTTTTATTTACACGGTGACAAAATTATATATTTTCTGTTATTTTATTAAGTCCATGTACGGGCAACAAGGGCAGCTGCCCATCAAATTATAATTACTTTTTTTTTTTAAATTTTGTAAGATATATTGATTTTTGTTTTCATATTAAAAAATGTATTAGACCCAAAATTCAAATTTCAAAGAATCTCGGAAGGCAATGGGGTGAGATCTATCTGCAGCGAATTCCCATAAATCTCGAGCCTCCTATGAAAAAGATACTCTTAAGACTTCGAGATCGAGGTATCATTAGCCGAAGAAGACTCTGAGCAATCCACGTGTCTTAAGCCGAATTGTTACAGATTTCAACCTTAGTCCGAGAGGGGACAAAAGACTTTGGATTTGAACAAAAAATTTCGTTCCCAACCAGGATTTCAATTTTACCAAACAGCTTGAAAACGTGAAAGATTGTCTGAACACGGGTACCGAATTTATAATATTGAATTAGATATTGTTTACCAAATATTTAGGTTTAAAAAAAAAAAAAAGGGATGATAAATATAAAAAATGTAAATAAAAGAGGGAGCAATCCATAGTGGCTTAGAAAAATTGGGAAGCATCTTTCAGAAAACGGGACATAAATAGATGTCCAACTCAATCACCAAAAACTTGACCCTACTAAATTACACCACACACACACTCAAACTCAAAGAGAAGGCAAACGATCATAAATGTATATATATATATATATATATATATATATATATATATATATATATATATATATATATATATATATAATAACAAATTTAAAAATTAATCTTATTGTATTTAAACAATATATCCATCTCTGCACCCTTTAAGTGCATCAGTGAACATTGGTTTTGAGAATATTTGCTGAAACCATCGCACACTGGCGTGTGTGAAAGAGTAATAAAATAAAAACTACCTAGATATTTGCGTATAATAAATTATCAAATATGATATATATGATCAATTATAATTTAATACTAAATATCCTTGACATCATGTGTACGTGCTTTAATTTATGCATAATTAGGTTTACAAGGTATAAAAATAGACGTGTATGATGGGATAATTTTCTTTTAATTTTAAAGCTAAAAAATCTATTATATTTCTAATTTAAACATAATTATTAATTTAGAAAATTTGAAATTCAATATCTAAACATTTGAATGAATTAATATCGTGTTTTATTTATTTATTGAATATTTAGTTTTTAAATTTGGAGTTTGAAAATATTTTAAAAATTAGAAAACTATAAATAGAAGACTTTTTGTTCGTTTTAAATTTAAAATATTAATATATAATAAATAAATAAATTAGACAGTTTATGAAAATATGTATATATATATGTGTGTATATATATATATATATATATTTGTGCAGGCAGTTGAAGCATGCTACTAAACCACAAATTTAATTTGTGGCTAAATTCTCAAGTCCCCTCATTGAATTTTCATAAAGGCGTCGTTTGGTTGTTCCTACACAACTTGCTTATTTCTAATCTCACCGATAATTCTTTGTCCAAATTTGGATACCGAACAAATACACATGACTTACACATGACAATAACGATTGATTTGTTTTATTGAAACGGACATAATTTATAACGTGATTGTATGGTACTAACCCTCGCCCTTAAGTAAGTTAGTCAACTAAAACTTGGATTGTTTTATCGAGCTAAAATAGACAATATCTACTAGCAGTGAGTCAGACCTAGACATCAGGCTGTGTTAGCGAATATGTTTGTAACACCCCAAGCCCACCGCTAGCATATATTGTCCTCTTTGAGCTTTCTCTTTAAAATTTTTAAAACACGACTAAAGAGAGATTTTTATACCCTTATCAGGAATGTTTCGTTCTCCTCTCTAACTGAAGAGGGGAACGAAACATTAATAGCATATGATCCAAATATGAAAAATTGACCATCGACGACATGCTCCTATAATATATTTTGAGGCAAATTTTATCGAACATAGATACAAACGTTTTTATAAACCAATTGTTCCTTCATTTTCTATAGTACAAGCCCTATCTTTATACGTATCATTTATTGCTCATTTATTTCTCATACTGTATTTTTTTCAATTATCCGTTCGGCTCGGATTTGCAACCTCCAATTCCTGTAAAACAACACTCTCGAACGGCTCGAATCTAGCAGAACTCTTGAATACTCGCTTTCATCTCGAGAATATATTCATGTCATAATAAAAATAAAAAATATTTTTTTTTCACAAATAATTGGATAATAATTAAGAAAATATTAGCGTTGTGAGAAGTGCCATTCATTCCTCCTTCACTTCTCTCTCAACTACCCCCAACCCTTTTAATCAATTATCTGTACGATCAAAATTCCCATGAGACACGTGTCCAACCCCACAGTAAAAACAGTGTACTCCTCCGCACACGATCCACTCTCTTCCCGTTGAAGAAACAAGCCGTTTTCTAGGGTTTATTCGTGGCTAACTAAAACTCGCTCGTTTAATAATTATTGGTAAAAAATTTAAAAAAAATTAATTTAATTTTACAAATAAGAAATAGATCAATATGTTATCCATATCTTTATCCAAAGAAAACATTACATAATTTCTTAATATTTTAAAAATAAATAGACGAATTAAAATATTAAACACAAATATATATAAATAGACTATACAAAATTGCATATGTAATGTTTAACCTATGATTATATATATACCAAAATGTACTTATAATCATAGCCTATTTAATTTCGCCTTTATGAAGGGGTATGGGTTTTAATTAATTAATTATTTATTTTGAAAAATATATAGAGAGTTAATAAAACCACCTACATTGTCCGGTGGCTTTGTTTCTTCCAAGTCATCAAAATAAATGGCCTTTATTTCATTCCAAATATGACATAGTTTATTAATATTTTCAAAAAAAATTAAAAAAATATATAGATATATATTATAAGCTTTATTATTGACTTTTTTTTTTGGGTTTGACTTTTCTTAATAATAATATTAAATATTTAAAAAAATTTGTAAACTTTATAACTAATAAATAAAGACATGAATGTACATTAAATAATATAGGTATTATTGATGTGTTTGCCTTTTTAGTACGGATTTTTATTTCCCATCAAATTTAACGTACAATGTCAATCCCAATAATAGATATATAGATACTAAGATGAGAAATTAAAAGGTAATTAATTAAAGAGAGTCAAAGTACGGAGAGGTCTTAACAAGAATATATTTATTGTTTTTCCTTCAATATATATTTATATTATACCATATTCTTCTTGAAGAGCTAATTCGTTTCACTTATTGAACAGGGTTTTATGGTCGATCTACAACCTTTGGATATCGAAGGCGTCCTTGAGATGATCTCGTAGTTCCTGGTCGGTCCACGAGCTATAAATGCCGAAGACATCATTGGAGGTGATCTTGTAGTTCCTACGATGATTTTCGTCCAACATGCGAAACAAATTAGAATGAAAACAAAAAATTTAATGTAATATGTGTTATTGACACGACTAAGTTTATGGCATGACTCTGATACTATGCTAGATAAACACGACTCTCCATAATGGTATGACATTGTCCAATTTGAGTATAAGCTCTCGTGGGTTTGTTTTGGGCTTCCCCAAAATGGGTTAAACCAATGGAGAGAGTATTATTTGATTATAAACTCATGATCATTCCCTAAATTAGCCGATGTGAGACTTTCATCATCCAACATCTCCCCTCGAACAAAGTACGTCTCTCCCTAATCGAGGCTCGACTCCTTTGTTCAACATTTGAGGATTTACCAATCTATTGGTACGACTAAATTTAGGGTATAGCTCTGATATCATATTAGATGAACACGACTCTATATAGTGATATGATATTGTCCACTTTGAACATATATCTCGCCTTTGCTTTGGGCTTTTCCAAAAGGCCTCAAACTAATAGAGTATTGTTTTTTATTATTATAAACTCATATCATTCCCTAAATTAGCAGAAGTGTGACATTATCGAACCATAAGAAACAAGAATTGGATGATGTAACCAAATGGAATTTTTTTAATAAAAAAAAACAAAATTACGAAATTAAAAGATTGTGTTTGGATTTTGTCGTATAAATTAAAAACACAATGGAAGAGAATAATTACCTCACGTAGTTAATGCCGAATATTAATTAATTATCCACATTCTTCTTCTCCTTCTTCCCCAAAAACCCAAAATTTAATTTTTTTTAAATAAAAAAATAAAAAGAAGATAACGAAAGTTATGGGATGAGTTTTGAAGTTGTTGTTGGTTAATATCAGTTATATAAATGCACACACACATATATATATATATATAAATATAAATTATAAATATATAAATATAATAAGGCCCATTTACCTTCCTCTCGTATAAATTCATTCTGTGAACAAAAGGAATATATATAGACAAATCGCCATCTCTCTTAATACTCTCTCTCTCTCTTTCTCTCTCTCGTCTCTCTCTCTCTCTCTCTCTGTGTTGAATGCTGATTTAGGCCCGTACTTGTAGCTCGCCCCTTCATTGAAACAGAGCAGAGATTTTGAAATCAAAAAATGAATTGGAGAAAATAAAAGAATTGAAAAAAAAATACGAATTTTACTCATTCTTCTAAACGGATAAGGCTCCAAGATTGAAGGGATTTTTGTGTTTTGTTTTGGTTTGGTTTGGTTTTTTATGGAGATGGGTTCTTATTTGAGGGAAATAGAAGGGAAGTTATCGAATGACCCTTTTTTAACAGAGAAGATTAGCGGCGGCGGAGGCGGCGGCGGGATGCGGCGGGTTTGGGTTCCGGGACCGGTGATAGTAGGAGCAGGGCCGTCGGGATTAGCGGCGGCGGCGTGTTTGAAACAAAGAGGAGTACCGAGTATGTTACTGGAGAGATCCAACTGTATAGCGTCGTTGTGGCAGTTAAAGACGTATGATCGGCTACGGTTGCATCTACCGAAGCAATTTTGTGAGCTGCCGTTTATGGGTTTTCCGGGGGATTTTCCGACGTATCCTTCTAAGCAACAATTCGTTAAGTATTTGGAGGATTACGCGGAGAGATTTGATATACGGCCCAGATTTAACGAGATGGTAGCAGAGGCTGAGTACGATCGTACCCTTGGGTTTTGGCGCGTGAGGAGCAAGCGCGGTGGTTGTCGTGGTGATGAGATGGAGTATGTTTGCCGGTGGTTGATCGTCGCTACTGGTGAAAATGCGGAGGCGGTGGTGCCGGAGTTCGACGGAATGACGGAATTTGGTGGCTCGATTAAACACACGAGTTTGTATAAAAGCGGCGAGGAGTTTCGAGGTAAAAAGGTTTTGGTCGTTGGCTGTGGAAATTCTGGGATGGAAGTTTGTTTGGATCTTTGTGAACATAGTGCAAGCCCTTCTCTCGTTGTCAGAGACACCGTAAGAACACCCTCTGTTTTTTTTTCCCCCTTTTTTTCCCTTTTTTTTCTTCAATTTCTTTTAATTTTTGCATTTTTTAAAAAAAATAAATTATGGGTATTGTTTATTTATGGGTTTTAATCAAAACCCAGATGGGATTTCCTCATAAAATCAATTTTGAACAGATTTTCAAGAAGAAAAAAAAGGAAGAAATAAGGGTTATAGGAAGATCTAATTATGGAAATTATTAATTTTAAAAATAAAAATAAAAAAAAATAAGGGGAAAGAGATGATATTTCACTTTCTTGGGATTCTCCAGCATGCGCAATATAGTTTTGAAAAAATTAAAAAAAAAAAAAATTTTAAAACTTAGGATCTTATATAGATTGTCATAATCATGAATCTCTCAAATCCAATCCGAAAGTGCTTTTTCTCTGTTTAAAAAGAACAAAGACAAAACCGAAACAAAACAAAACAGCCTCGGGGAGTCATGTTCTGTCTGTATTTGTGTCACTCCACTCCATCCCACTTAGTAAGCTATGTTCAAATTGATAATGGGTTTGTTTTGCAATTTCATCCAAGTATAGGGGTGAAATTAGAAAGTTGTAATGAAATTGGGGGCTATGATCAAATTGGTAATGGGTCTGTTTTACAATTTCATCGAAGTACAGGGGTGAAATTAGAAAGTTGTAATGAAATTAGGGGGGTGTTTGATAATTATTGTGAAATTGAAGGTGCACGTACTACCACGAGAGATGCTGGGGAGATCAACTTTCGGGTTGTCCATGTGGTTGCTAAAGTGGTTCCCCATACGTCTGGTCGATGGGTTCCTGCTAATGGTGTCGAGGCTGATGCTTGGAGACACTGCCAGATTCGGGTTGGACCGGCCCATTATGGGCCCACTTCGGCTCAAAAACATGTCCGGAAAAACTCCAGTATTGGACGTTGGTACCCTTGCCAAAATCAAAACGGGACATATTAAGGTACTATTTCACTTTATTTTTTAAAAAGTTTAAAAATGTATTATTGTTATTTAATTATTGAGAAGTTTTCTCTGCCGTTGATTTTCAGATTCGTCCTAGCATCAAACGGCTGAAACGTCAAGCTGTGGAATTTGTTGATGGAAGAATAGAAAGATTTGATTCCATTATATTGGCTACTGGTTATAGAAGTAATGTCCCTTCTTGGCTAAAGGTATGCTTTTTACCTTCCTTCCCCCACCTTCTATTTTGAATGCTTATGCTTTCGGGTCCGTTAAATTATACTAAATTTTACGTTTTTGTTCATTTCACCTGCTCGACGTTCGTTTTATTTGATATGAGTGTAGCTCGATTGTTAAAGAATCGATTGTTTTTAGGTGGAACGACATGTTTAAGAGTAAATTTGAAAATTGCCTGTGTATTATAAGACATGTTTTAGAGTGTCGGGATTGATTTGATTTGATTAATGTTTTAGGAAGGAGAAATGTTTGGGAAAAAAGATGGGTTGCCAAGGAGGCCATTTCCAAATGGATGGAAAGGAGAAAATGGGCTATATGCAGTGGGATTCACAAAGCGTGGATTACTCGGCGCATCAATGGACGCAAAGAGAATCGCCGAGGACATCGAACGGTGTTGGAAAGCTGAGGCTAAGCTTTCTACGCCCACTACGCTATCTCCACCGTCCACGTAGACGAATCTGACACTCTACCCTTTCTGAAAATGCCCAAAAAAAAAAAAAAGTAGGAAAAAGAAATCGTAATTCATTGAATCGCCGATTCGAGATTCATCGCTCCCTTCTTCGACGAAAGGGAACTTGCGGGGTTTCGACGCTTCTTTGATTAAGAAAAAGGATTTGAATTAAAAAAAAAAAAGCGAATGAAATTACCGTTCAGCCCTCGGGAAGGAGGAAGAAACAGAAGAGTTTTTTTTCTCGTGAAGGGCAAAACTGCCACTTTTGAACAATTTTTTCTCTCTGGTTAGAGAGAGAGAGAGAAAGGGGATGTTTGGAAACAGGAATTGCTTGGGAGGTGTTTGGCTTTTGTTATAGAATGATATTCTAGTGAGACAAAAGAAACGACTTGAAAAAGACGAGGTTTTGGGAAACTCGAACATAACCGTTAGATGCACGAGACAAAAATTGGAAAAAAAATATTTACTTTTTAACTATGTATTCGTTTCGAGATTACTTGTTCGAGTGAGAACAGCAAAATTGTGTTTTTTTTTTCGTTCTTTTTAATATTTGTATAAGCATTTTTGAAGTGGAGGACGCTATTTTTGTGCATTTTCAATAATTATTTAAACGTTAAAAAATCTCGAATTAAATAAAAAACTTTATGGTAAATTTAATTTTATATTAAATGAATAATAAAGATGATAATTAAATGGAATTTCGCTGTCGTAAGAATTTATTTTTCAATTCCAAGTAGTATATTGGACCACTAAAACTGTGCAAAGCTTAATGATTGCACACAATTCTCACAGCAAAATTGAAAAAAAAAATTACCATTTGTAAAAAATATTTTACTTTTAACTGTGATCAAGGAGATTTAGTGGAATAATTAAAATTAAACTTTTGATTTCTTTATAATCCCAATAAGGATCCTTTCAAATCATATTCGATCCTTATTATTTCTCCAAATTCTTTTTTATTTTTAAAATAATTATTTAATTACGTGAGTAATTATTAAAATTATTATAAAATTCACGTATGGACATAAATATATATATATTTTTACTGGATATGATGTGAAATATAATCTATATCTATGATCCAGTTTAGTTAATTTAGAGAATCAATTCGGGTAGGATGAGGAATATAATCATGTTTTGGTATAATCTCTATCTCTGATTCTGTTTAGCAAATTGTGAGAATCTGTTTTCTTCACTGGCGGTTTCTCATCCTGTTTTGGTAAATCCCGAGTTGAGGATGTGCTGTTCTCTTCACGGGGAGTTTCTCATACTGTTTTGGTAGATCCTGAGTTGAGGATGTGTTGTTCTCTTCACTGGGGATTTCTCATCCTGTTTTGGTAGATCTCGAGTTGAGGATGTGTTGTTCTCTTTACTGAGGGTTTCTCATCCTATTTTGGTAGATCTCGAGTTGAGGATGTGATGTTCTCTTCACTGGGGGTTTCTTATCCTATTTTGGTAGATCCCGAGTTGAGGATGTACTGTTCTCTTCACTCGGGGTTTCTCATCCTGTTTTAGTAGATCCCGAGTTGAGGATTTGCAAGTTAAACAAACAACGTTCGACGTAACATAATTAAAAAAAAAAAAAAAAAAAAAAAAAAAAAAAAAAAAAAAAAAAAAAAAAAAAGAAGTTAGTTTAGGGTTTTAAAGATTTGAAGGGAATGCACATGCGGTGGGGTTTATCCTGACCGGATGATATTTGATGGTATGATGGAAGAAGGCAGAAGCTTCAGCCAATTCAAAATCTAAGAGAGAGAAAAAAAATCAACATCAAATGAAGGGAAAGGGAATTAAGGAAAATGATTTTATTTTTTTATTTATTTTTATTTTTTAATAATATATAATTTTAATAATGTAATTTTCAAATATAATAATAACAATAAAAATAGGCTAAGCTTTTAATTAACCTAGGTGTTATTATAATACATATGCTAAATTTTGGATTATTTCCATAATTATCGTTTAATTACATATTTTAGAAAAGATACGCGTAGTCAAATTTTGATTTGTATTGTCTAAATTGATACATTTAATTGATTCGACAGTGACATACATTATTTTAAAGCTTAATTAATCAAAATTAGATAGAATAATATTTAAAAATAAAAAATAATTGTGAAAAAAAAAATGATTGAAAGAATTAATTGATTGGTGATAAATGAACCAATGGAAGCAAGGTGTTGATTAGTGAATGTGGTCCAAAGTGGTATGGCATCCACAAGGTGATGATAGATGAATTAATTAGGACCATCCAACTCATTATTTATTTATTTATTAGGGAGGGAAAAAAATAAGAAAATATTTTAATTTATGAATTAATATGGTGTGGACCATTGTATTGTAATTAAAAAAAAAAAATAACTCTAAATTTATATATTTTTTAAAAAATTATACGAAACCGATCAGCCTAGTGGGCATAGTGAAAACTGCCTCGTTGTTACCTTTCAACTTTTAAATTATTACGCAGATTCAATTGGGTCTTTAATTGGCTCTTGTACACGTCATTCTACGTGTGATTTGACCACATTTGGATTGACCCAATTGAACTACGGGTCGACCAATCATGACCTATGAGTCGAGTATGGGTCAGTCACAATGAATTTGAGCCTGCAGGTGTCTAGATATTTGAATAATACGTAAAATTAAATGAAATAAATAAAAGAATATTGAGTGGTGAAGTCAACATCAGGGGTGATAGCTATTAGTCAACATATGCATTCACATCAGACGACTCAAAATCTATGAATAGGGTTTAATCCAATCATATATGATTATTCCTCTTCTCGAATGTCTGTCTCGATAATTCAAATTTCTCTCTCACCTTGAAGGCTACATTTAACTGTTCTCGTGGCTTATTATTATTATTATTATTATTTGATTTTGTTTTTATTATTGTCCATTTTTATATAATTTTATTTTCGAGAAATAAAATATCCATTAAATTGATTATACGAAAAAAAAAAATGTTGTAATCACGCATTCGTGATCTAATGAAATTATTGTAATTAAACCTAGTTTATTTAGATCAAGAAGTTCGTACGATTTTACAAAACTATGTGCTACGGCTCGAAGCTGTAGTCAACCCTATTTGCAACAAGACCATTCGACGATTAAATTCAATTTTGTCAATTATTTTCATTTTCATATCGAGACTTTAGCAAAAAGTGTCAGTATACAAATTTAGTTCTTCAACTTTGATAATTACACTGATTTAGTTTCTAAATATTTTTAAAAAAAATTCCGACCACATATCTCAATTTTAAAATTTGTTTTTAACACATCTCGAATGTTAATACTATTAATTGAATGCAACATGTAGCGTTGTAGTTTGACCTAAAAATGATAACTCGAACCGATGAACTACTTCCGAGTTAGTTCATGAAATTTTAAGCACGTGATCTTAAAAAAAAAAAAAAAAAAAAAAAACCAATAAATTTATAATAATAATTAATATTTTATTTATTGAATTATACTCCGTCTTCTTTTCGGGACAATTTCATAATGTACGCACGTGTTAAGATTCCTTTAATTCCAATTTTTTTTTATTGTTACTGTTTTTGTTTTTAAAAATAAATAATAAATAATAAATAAAAAGTTTATAAATCTGTAAATGCTGATTTTGTTTTTCCTCTCTCTTTTTCTAATTTAGTATTCTTCTTTATGTCTATTCCACAAGATTTGTGTGTGATCTCCAAGAGAGGGATGGGGAAAAAGGTTAAATTTGCATGCCATGTGTTTGTTAAAAGGTCAACATGATTTTACCCACTTGATTGTGTGTGTTCTTAACAAAATCTTGCTGAATTTTTGCCCAAATAGTAAAAAAAAATATACCTAAATATTTGTAACCCTAGAATCTAAATTCTTTAATAATTTAATTAGTAATCACGTTTCATCTGCATCTGTGCATCTGTGTGTTGAAGAGAACGAAACATTACTTATATGGGTGTAGAAACCTCTTTCTAGTAGACACGTTTTAAAATCGTGAGACTAGCGGCGATATGTAACGAGCCAAAACGGGCAATATCTACTAGCAGTTTTGCATTTAGGTAAAATCTATATTGTGAGAGAGGGGAATGAAACATTTCTTATATGGGTGTAGAAACCTCTCCCTAGTAGACACGTTTTAAAACCGTGAGATTGACGGCAATACGTAACAAGCAAAAACGGGCAATATTTGCTAGCGGTTTTGCGTTTAGGTAAATCTACCTGTGTGAGAGAGGGGAACGAAACATTTCTTATAAGGGTGTGGAAACCTTTCCGTAGTAGATATGTTTTAAAACCGTGAGACTGACAGTGATACGTAATGTGTCAAAACAGACAATATCAACTATTGATTTTGGGTTACGATAAATTCTGCATATGTGAGTTCCCACATGGGTTGGAGAGGGGAATGAAAATTCGTTATAAAAATGTGGAAACCTCTTCCTAATAGATACGTTTTAAGATTCTGAGACTGACTGCGATACGTAACGAGCCAAAACGCACAATATCTGCTAGCGGTTTTGCATTTAGGTAAAATCTACATTTGTGAGAGAGGGGAATGAAACATTTCTGATAAGGGTGTGAAAATCTTTTCCTAGTAGACATGTTTTAAAACCGTGAGACTGACAGTGATACGTAACGTGTCAAAACAGGCAATATCAGTTATTGGTTTTGGGTTTAGGTAAAATCTGCACATGTGAAATCCCATATCGGTTGGAGAAGGGAATGAAGCATTCGTTATAAAGGTGTAGAAACCTTTCTTTAATAGATACATTTTAAAATTGTGAGACTAACTGCGATACGTAACGGGTCAAAACGGACATTATCTACTAGCGATGGGTTTAGATTGTTACAAGATTATTATGAAATGATGTTCACGTGAAACTTTCGGAATAATCTAGAGAACGGGTGTGTTTTTGCCTTTATTGAACATGGGGATTTTGGTAGATTTGGTTAACAAAAAAGGGTGAATATTTAGATTTAGATTTGCCAATTGGGTTTGTAAATTGCAATGAGCAATGAGAAGGACATGAACATAATTGGGAAGCTAGTGCAAGTGGGAACGTCAGAGAACTGTGGGGGAGGGAGGGGCATTTTGGGGATTTCCACCTTTTGAATAGAATAGTTTGTTATTGGGTTTCTTTCTTTTGGGCCAAATAAAGCCTTTGATTGATTTATGCTTTTTCCTTATTTATTTATTATTTTTATTATTGTTTTGGCAATCTGCCAGCTGTCTCTTTTAGCTGGCAATTGAGACCTCGTTGTCTCCAAATTTCCTTAATTAGTTCGAAAATTTTCAAAACATATATATATATATATATATATTTTTAATATTTCCTTTTTATTTTAAGAGCATAATTAATATGTGTTCTTTGTGTGTATTTCTAGACAGATTTTTACCGTTAACGTTTGAAAGAATGTTACAAAGCTTGTTTATGGTAAAAAAGTTTAATTACCATTATTTACTCCCCTATTTTAACTACTAAATTACTAACTTCAAGTTATTAGAGACTTAAAAAAAAATTAATAATTTTAATATAGTTTAATTCGTCAATTAAAATATCAAAAGCAAAAATAAATCGTTTAGAGTTTCAGTCACTTGTAAACTGAATCAAACTCAACCGTAATTTACAAGTATTTGTTTTTTTGGAGTCGAGACTGTCCACTTTGAGTATAAGTGCTTTCCCAAAAGGCCTAAATTATAATCGAGGCTCGACTCCTTTTTCTTTTGAAGTCTTAGTCATTTTTTTACTATGCCTTCAAGGTGGGAGGCTCGAGCCTTCCCTTGATCGAGACTCTCGACAATGGTATGATATTGTCTACTTTGAACATAAGCTCTCGTGACTTTGCTTTGGGCTTCCCAGAAGGTCTCTCACCCCAATGGAAAGAGTATTCTTTGATTATAATGTATGATCGTTTCCTAAATTAACCGATGTGGAACTTTCATCCAACAGAGACTCACACTTTCGTACCTTACCCACGAAATGAAGTATCAATTACTTCGTGCTAAACAACAAACCTATGAAACAAGAATTTTCATGGAGGGGCTTTGATAAGCAATATTTGCATAAAAAGTTAGTTTTGGAAACTATTTGTAAACATGACCCATCAATTGGTCATGTATAAACTATAATGAATATTGTACTATTTTTCATGTTATTGGGCTGGGCTTATTGTCAGTGATATTTGGGCCAGCTTGAATATTTGCTGGGCTAAGTTCTGGGCTGATCACGGCCCATTTATCATTCAATTAGGTTTTACCTAAAAATAATATTTTGAATACTATTTTAATTTTTTAAATATTAATTTTTACCAATAGTTTTCCAGTTTATTTTCAATTTAGTGTTATGGTTTCTCCATTAATTGGGCCTTATTCTAGGCCCACTTGGGCCTTATTCTAGGCCCATGAGCCCAACGTGGCCTTGAATGGCAGACAATGAGGAAACAGAAACTAAACCCAACGCAACTTGTTCTCAGCGAAGAGGACTAAAAATATTTTAATTATATCTTAAATTATTATATTTAAATTGATATTTAGACTCTGTTGACATTTTTTCTTTACCCCTCTAAGCTTTAAAACGCGTGTGATAGGGGAAAGTTTCCACACCCTTATAAGTGGTGATTTGTTCTTCTTCTCCACCAATATGGGACATCACAATCCACCCCCTTCGAGATCCAGGGTCCTCGCTGGCACTGCTAGTAGATATTGTCTTTTTTGGGTTTTTTTTTTCGGGCTTCTCCTCAAGGTTTTAAAACGCGTATGCTAGGGGAAGATTTCCACGTCCTTATAAACGGTGATTTGTTCTCCTCCCCAACCAATGTAGGACATCACATTACATATCACCATCAGTCTCACGATTTTAAAACACGTCTATTGAGAAGAGGTTTTCACACCCTTATAAAATATACTTCGTTACTCTCTCCGACCGATGTAAGATCTCGGTTCGTGACAATTAAAAGATTTAGTTAATAGGACCTATTAAATTTTTGCAACTACCTATGGATTTTTATTATTCATTTTGATCTATAAACTTGATTTTTTTTTTTAAATATTTTAAAATTTAGAGAGATATTTTGAATAATTTATTGATTTTTTATAGGATAAAAGATTTTTTATTTTTTATTTTATTTTTATAATCAAATAAATGTCCGAAAATGTAATTTGAATTGAAAAAACGGGTGAGTTGGCCAAAGCCACTATGCAAGTGCAACACCCGTTTTCAATCGTGGCCGATTCTACGGCACGATGTTAAACAAACGTGGGCCGGATCGTGGAAAATAAACCGAACCCGGTTTATATTAGGCGCTTTAAAATCTATATTAATAGCTTTAAATACGAGCCTTACAAATTCAGTCCTCGTCGAAATCGAAACCCTACTCTCTGGTCTGCTGCTTCTCTCTTCCAGCCCGCGTTTTTTCTCCGTCTCAGAGCTCATTCCGATCATGGAGAATTCTTCTCTCGATCAAGAGACCGCCAAGAAAGTGCTTCGTCAGGTTAAACGCGTTCAGAATCTCTCTTCATGTAAAGTTCTAGTCGTTTTCTTTCAAAATGTTCATCTGTTTGATGTTTCTTCTTCAGGTCGAGTTCTATTTCAGCGACAGTAATCTTCCTAGAGATGGTTTTCTTAAGAAAACTATTGGCGCAAGCCCCGATGGAAGTATCCTTTACCTCGTGCCATTACGTGTTTATGCGTTTTTTCTTCGTTGGTCCGTTTAGTTTGCTTTCATGTTGAATGGCAATGGCCTGTTTCTGCATTCGTTTTGATTTTAATTTGGATAGTGTTCTTCGTTTGTGCTACCTTCGAAGGTCTTTTGTTGATCTTAACTGGAAATTACAGTGGTGGATTTGTCTTTAGTTTGTTCGTTTTCTCGGATGAAAGGCCATCTTCATTTGGCTCAGGACGTGAAACCGGACGCGATTCCAGAAGATACTGTAAAAGCTGTTGCTGAAACTTTGAAAAGCTCTTCAACTATCAAAGTTTCTGAAGATGGTTAGGTTTTTAATCTTATAATTGATGAACTCGTCATTTATTTGACTGCTGAGGAATTATCTATTGCATTACATAATTTAATCAGAGTAGGAGTTCATGCTGTAAAAACTGTTAAGGTCTATGTTTGTGTAAGGGATAAATAAAAATCTTACGTTTTTATATGGATGATGCAGAATCCTTCCAGAAAATTCATTTGAAAATATCAACTTACTTCGTTATTAAGATTAGCTCCTGCTCTGTAATTCGCTGTTATGGATTGTTATGAACTTTTTATATTATCATTTGATTGAGTTTGGGCTTTGCATTGTACAGGGAAGAAGATTGGTAGAATTGCTGAACTCTCAAAGCCTGAGGAGATGCTAGAGCAATTGGATGATAGAACCATTGCTGCATCGCCGTTTCAATATGATGTCAAGCTTGAAGATGTAGAAGCTTTTTTTGGTCAAATCGCGAAGGTAGATTCTTTGTTGTTATCGATTCATCGTTCATGTCAGAATGCCCTTGGGTTTAGATATGTTATGAATACATAAGCTCTTTCCAATTACTTTTTAGTAGCTTTGTCTTTGAACAATTTCATGAAAAGTTGTGAAAATTCCTGACATTAAGCTGATTGTTTTGTTTTCTTGTTATTCATAACACATCAAATGCTCAAATCCTGATCTGTCAGTCTTAATTGGGTTTTTATCACGGCTCTTTTTCATGGTATCTATTTTTTTTTTCATCGTTTTCGTTGAACATTAGAATTTTCCCACTGATCTTCAGGTCAACAGTGTGAGGTTGCCCCGCCATGTTTCGGATAAACGTGTATTCTGTGGAACTGCCTTGGTAGAATTTTCTGCTGAAGAAGATGCAGAAAAAGTATTGACGGAAAGCTTGCTTTATGCTGGTGCCAAGTTAGAATTAAAATCAAAGTAAGTCGGTGTTGAAATACGATAAGCTCGTACATCATACTCCTCAGTGTGATGCTACAAATCTGTGCCTTTCCTTTAGGCTTTTTTCCTTTCAAGCATTGATTCTGTTATTATAGTTGGTATGTATGTGAAAAAACATATTGATTATCTAAGCTTATTTGAAAATTTTAGGCATTGATTTAATATTCAACTTAGATGTATCATTCAACTGCGTTTGTAAAGAGTATTTCCATTTCAGGAGGGATTTTGATGAGGAGAGATCAAAAGAGACGGAGAAGTTTGAAAGTTCACGCTCGAACGCAAGTTCAAACTGGAAGAACAATAATTCCTCGGAATCAAAGTATGTTATGTTAGCCATACAGTTCTCCTGGTTTCATATCACTTGGTCTTACTCATGATTCTTGCAGCTACCCGAAAGGCTTAATTGTTGCCTTTGCACTGAAAAAGATGACAGCCGGAAGTTCTGCTGAGGAAAATGGATCTCATGATGTAACCACTGATAAGACTGAATGCAAAACAGACGAAGGATTAGATTCTTCAAAGAATGACTCTGAGAAAACTGAGCAAACAGGGGGAGAAAACGTGGGTAAAGATGAAGAAATCCAGAAGAGTTCTGATGATAAGATCGAAGAAGCTGATAAGAAAAATGATTCAGGCAATGAAGAAAAACCTGAAGTGGAAGATCAGTCTATGGATGATCCCACCGACGAACGTGAAGAGGCTGAAGAAAAACCCACATTTGCCTCATCTAGAAACGACAAGAACGTTGTTTCACGCGAGGATTTGAAGGCTATTTTTCAGAAGTTCGGAAGTATCAAGGTATCTCATAGATGATTCTTCTTCATTGAATTGCTGTGTTCATCAGAATGTTTAAAGAATATTTATTGTTCTATTTCGACTTTGAATCATGCTTTTGATGTTCGTATTGCTTTACTGTTTTCAGTTCATATATGCATGCCAATTCTGACACATCTTCATCTTCCTCTTGTTTTACTCTCTTTCTGTTCATTGGTTGGGATGATGAAGTACATTGATTTTAAGATGGGGGAAGAGTCTGGTTATATCAGGTTTGATGAGCCTGAAGCTGCCCAGAAGGCTCGTGCGGCTGCAGTCCTTGCTGATCAAGGAGGATTGGCTGTGAAGAATTTTATAGCCACTTTAGAACCAGTTTCAGGTACCATACATTCTTCCACTGTCCTTTGAGCATTGAGCAAAGTAATGTTGAACGTGCCGAGATCATCTTCCTTGTTCCTTTTCCATGTCCGATCGAGCGGTTTCTTGATCTCAGGTGAGGCTGAGAAGGAGTATTGGAGGGCGCTCCGCAGCAGCCAAGAAAAGCATCATCGTGACTTTAAGGGCAACCGTGGAAGGTTTGTTTTATAAACGACGACAATTAGTGTCTTATTCGAATTGGTTGGTTACTGAAAACTAATGCTGGATCATCTTCCATGCTTCTCTGCTGCTGCTTGCTATTTCTACAGGGGTGGTAAATTCAACAGAGGTGGAAAGCATGGTCGGTCGAGAGGATACGACAACAACCGAGGTCGCCCGAACAAAGCTCAAAAAGTTTGAGCTGCTGCCTGCCTGGTGTGTCTTATGGCCAGCTCTGCTACAATTTTGGAGGAAAAGCTCTCTACCTCTACTGGTCTTTTTATTTATCAGCTTCGTGTTTAGTTTAGAGGTTGTCTTTGTGTTTTTTTTTTTTTTTGAATTTTTATTCGATAATATTTGAAAATTTGAACATATAAAGCTACTAACTCAATTCAAAAGCCCTATTTTGTTGTTCTTCCCCACTTTACAAGTTTTTTTTCCTCAAAATAGTGAAAATCTTTGCGTGTTAGAAACGAAATGGAATAGTGGCTGTGTACTTTTGTTGTGTAAAATTCGAGTTCAAAATTAAAAAAGGTTTTTAAAATTTAACCTCAAGTTTTGAAAACTAAAAAGGCTTTTGTTTTTATTTTTTTTCCAAAAATTCAAATTTTTTAACTTCTTTTCTCTCTCTTTTTTTTTTCAATAATTCAAATGCTTAATTAATAATTATGAAAATAAATTAAATGTCAAGAGTTGAACATATTTTGAGCGAGAGAGTTAGAGCCGAACGAAATTGATGATTTTTCTTTAATGTATTATGGTAGGTAGATATCAATTAATTTTTAGTGTATATGAGATTGATTATGTTTGATGATAAAAGTCCCACATCGGCTGATTTAGGGAATAATAAGTACGAAAGTCTCACATCGCCTAATTTAGGGTAGGGAATAATAAGCCGCTGATTTAAGGAATAATAAGTATGAAAGTCTCACATCGCCTAATTTAGGGTAAGGAATAATAAGCCTATGAAAGTCTCACATCGCCTAATTTAGGGAATGATAAGCTCAAAGTAAAACCATAAGCTTTAGGGAATGATAAGCTCAAAGTAAAACCATAAGCTAGGGAATAATCATAGGTTTATAATCGAGGAATACTTTCTGCATTGGAATGAGATCTCTTGGAGAAGCCCAAAGTAAAGCAATAAGAGCTTATGTTCAAAGTGACAATATCATATTATTGTGGAGACTCTCTTCATTGGAATGAGGCCTTTTGAGGAAGCCCAAAGTAATGAGAGCTTATGTTCAAAGTGGACAATATCATACTATTGTGGAGACTCGGGTTCATCTAACATGGTATCAGAGCCATCCTCTAAACTTAGTAGTTAACAATATCATACTATATTGGAGATTCGTGTTCATCTAATATGGTATCAGAGTCATGCCCTAAACTTAGTAGTGCCAATAGATTGGTAAATCCTTAAATGTCGAACAAAGGACTCCAAAAGAAAAAGGAAGCCAAGGAGAGTCGTGTTCATCTAACAGATTATATTAATTAAAAATAGAATCAATGTTTTAAAATTATTATTATTTTGTAAACAACAAAAACCATATGATTAGTTCAAATTTCATAAATGTGGCTGATGGGCTACTAAATACATATCACCATCAAAGTTTAGGTATAATTTTTTTTTTTTGTAACCTTAAATTAATGAGACGATTAACACAGCTACACACGTTTCACAAGTTGGGACAAAATTAGAGGAAATATATTTTAAATTTGAAAATGTTTTTTTTTTTTTTTTTTAAATGCCCGTTGAAATTGAAATTTTCGAATAAGAACCGGTCGGATTTTAGTTTTGGGTACAATAAATGGGCATTTCTCTCCTAGGCGTTAAATCGACGACGGTCCAGCATCATTTCAAAAAGCTTTGATTGACTTTAACCATAGGGTTTGAATCTCCCAGTCCGCCCTCTTACGTATTTGAATATGGCTTCGCTTTGATCTCACTCATCTTCTCCTTCTCTCTCTCTCTCTCTCTCTCTCGCTCGCTCTCTCGCCTTTTCGTGTTCTCAGTTCTCTCTTGGATCTGCTCCTTCTCCAGGTATTTACCGATTGCAATGTCCAGGTTTTGAACATCTTCATCTTGTTCATCCGCATTTCGATTTTGTAAGTCGAGTAGGCGAAGAAGTTTCTATAAACGTTCCATTTCTGCCGAGTTTTTAACTTCGATGTGATAACTGAGTTTGAAATCTGTCTAATCGGACCTTTTTTCAATCGGTGATTTGTATCTGCCTACTACTTTTAGTTTTGTTTGATTCGATTATGATTTTAATGATTTCTGGTGTTTCATCTACGAACTTGTTCGGAAGTTGTTTTCTGGAGTGTTTCTTTAGTTTAATCTTAAGTTTAGCTCCGATTCCTATTCATCGGAGCTTCGACGATTTTGTTCCTTCCGAATTTGCGAGAGAAACTTCATTCGAGTTTAATTAGTAACTTTTTTATTTTTAAAATTGAAATTCCTGAGATCTACAATTGTAATGGTTGAGACGACGGATTCAGATATGAAGATTTCATACTATCTTTTTAATTTGATCTTTTAGTACCGTCTTATTGACTTCAGTTGCTCCACTTCAGGAATCGCTTCTGACGAGTTCCATCGTATATGTTCCATTTCTGCTGTCCATCGGATTTTCGAATGAAAACTAACTGCTGGCTCTTCTTAGTAAGAGTAGAATGATTTGGAGGAAATATTCTGGAGAGAGTTGTATGCAGCTTTGTCTGCCTGCCGAGGAACTATGGAAAGTGATCCAGCGCTTTGTACTCCTTTAGACGCGCCTGGTGACAGTTGCCAGAATATTCGATCTATACATAGGTAATTTCTATTGGAAAATCATCCTCCTTCTTCTTATTCGACCTATTGTTTATCTGTTTATTCACTCTCTCACTGTCTGTCTTCCAGTTTCATTGTTCCTTGGACATTTAAACAATGTAAACAATGTCAATTGAATCTTCCTCTCCAATTATAATAGTCCGTCGTTTTCTCAACACTCCTTGTGTTGAAATTTTCTTTGATTGAGGGTTTAGAGCCATATTACTTATCCAAACTTGTGCTTATGATTGAACAACTTCTAGCCGAAGAACAAGTGGCCCTACGAGGCGTTCCACTAAAGGTCAATGGACAGCCGAAGAGGTAACCTACTATTTTCATTTTGATCTTTCCGAGTATTTTCTGTAATTGAGATACAGAAGAACATATATTCATTTAAATTCCTTCAAACTATGTTCTTACTAAAGAAATTTCTTCAATCGTTTTAGGTTTTGTTATTTATCATTCATTCCATCTGTATGAAGAGCGTAACTTTATTCTTTAAGTAAATCATAATTATTCACGATTTGTTGTGAATTTTGTCTCGTTACCTTTTCCTATTGGTTTTCAAATTTACATCCAAGTCTTATTAGATATGATAAACTGTTTATTTGATTAGGATGAAATCCTGCGGAAGGCAGTCCAACGTTTCAAAGGCAAGAACTGGAAGAAAATAGGTAATGATGAAAAAATATAATTTTCCTTTTACAATTACTGTTGCAAACACTTGGAACACTGCTCTTCCTTCTTAATCATTTGAACTTTGGGGACTCTCCAATTGGTATATTTATCAACTTGTTTAGGTTCTTCAGCGAAGTGTACCTTAACCTAATATGAACATATAATTAACTCTGGATTCACGATAAATAAAGTATTCATTACTTGTAAGAAAATCTGCTCATTGCAAACTATTAGCAGGAAGGAGGACGCTATAAAATATTTGTTATAGTATTTTAGTTTTGCATAGAACGGATTACTATTTTCATATCATTAAATCTTACTTAATGATATTGTGGTGGAGCTTTAGCTAGTCTCAGCCAATTCAAGTGTCGTCTGTTGCATGAAATTGTTTGGATATTTTTCTTCCAAAATGGAATCTGATAAGTGAGATTTCGAGTCCGGTCTTAGAGACGCAGGCCAAGGCCTCCGTCAGTAGTTAAAGAGAATGAAATGATAGTTTACGGGGTTGGGGGAGAGTATGTTAGTAAAGAAATATATTAATCTTGATGATAACTGATATTCATCGAAACCATGCTTGCGATTATCTGCATCGACACTTGCTTTCTTTGCCAGTCAACGACTATTTATTGATCCTCACAGTTCGTTGTCCTATAAGCCAGATGTCTAATTTCAAATTTGGTTCATGTAGCGGAATGCTTCAAGGATCGAACTGATGTACAATGTCTACATAGGTGGCAGAAGGTTTTGAATCCAGAACTTGTCAAAGGCCCATGGTCTAAAGAGGTTGTCTGCCGATGGCAATAATTCTTTCTTGTATCCGTTATCTCTTGATAAACATTTCTGTTGTTGCACACTTTTCTTATTTGAACTGATGAATTGTTTTGGAAACTGTTTATAGGAAGATGAAATAATTGTCGAACTAGTGCAAAAGTATGGACCTAAGAAGTGGTCCACCATAGCACAACACTTACCTGGACGTATTGGCAAGCAATGTAGGGAAAGGTATGATTAGAATTTCTCTTATGTGGAATGTTTCACTGCTAAACTCTAAAGGTCTAGTTTTTCAAATATAACAATTTGTCGAGTTTGGTGGCCATTTATTGCTCGACTTTGTCCATGCGTTTTGTTTTAGTGAAATTATTTCACATAAACTTAAAACTTTTGAATTAATCAGGTGGCACAATCACCTAAATCCTGCCATAAACAAGGAGGCATGGACACAGGAAGAGGAGATAGCACTTATTCGTGCTCATCAAATATATGGAAATAGATGGGCAGAGCTGACAAAGTTCTTGCCTGGCAGGTAAGCAAACAGATGCTTAGATTTTCAGTATATTTATTTCAAAAAGAGCACTCCTGTGTTATGAATTATTACTCTCATGTTGCTTGTAATTCCCTATGTTGTTCTTCACGTTCATAGATTTAATGGCTTGCTTCAGTGCACTCTCCCTTACAGAGCTTCAATATTGCTAAGACACTCACCAGATTGATGTATATTTGATATCAACAGGACAGACAATGCCATAAAGAACCACTGGAACAGTTCTGTGAAAAAAAAATTGGATTCTTACTTGGCATCCGGTTTACTCGAACAGTACCAACCCCTGCATCGTGCATTGCAAGTGGGCCTACCCAAGAATTCATCTTCAAGAGTGCAGAGCAGTATAGATGACAGCAGTCTCAGAGGGACAGAAACAGAGGACATATCTGAAGTCAGTCAAACTTCAGCTATTGTTGCTTGCTCCACTACTGTTCCACGCACAGAAGAGGAATGCCAGTTGGGTGAAGCTGCTTTTTTAAAAGAGGAACCAATCTCAACACCACATTGTCCGGAGCAATATAATTCTTCTTTGGATAACATCACTTTTTCGATTCCTGAAATGTTCGGTGAATTGGATTGCTATGTGAAACCTCCTGATCAAAATTTCTCACAGGATTGCAGAACTTCTCCAACTGGGGATAACCGATATAATTTGTACGAGTTACCAAATATTTCTTCTCTGGAATTAGGTCGGGAGTTGTCACAGTCTCAAGCAATTGGATCTCAGGAAGTAGAGAATGTTCCACATCAAACTTCTGCAGGATTGAATGCCTCTACTGACGAGAATATGGCTAGGGGTTCAGATAGATCAGAACAAATGCTGATATCCGATTATGAATGTTGCAGGGTTCTTTTTTCAGATGGAATAAACAATGAATCTTTTCCTTCTGAAAATACACCGGATGCCTCAAATATGGTTGAACTGAGTGGATATGCACATCCTTTGCACTGTCAATCATTAAGCATAGAAATGCAAGAAAGTCGGAGAAACTTATCGATGCAATCGTATCATCATTCAAGAACTGATGTTCTGGATAACTCAAGTTCTCAACCTTTTCTAGCTCCTCTCTTGGTTTCTGCTAATGATGATACTTATGTATATACTAGTGAAGCCAGTCATTTATTTGCAACCCTCGAACGAGAGCTTGTAGCTAATGAACATGATGGCTTTATCTACACCAATGAATCCGCGGAATCTCCCCGTGAGGACGGTACAAAGGATGCAGACCTCCAAAAGCAGCAGGGTTCAAATGATCCATCAAAGCTGGTTCCTGTAAATACTTTCAGTTCAGAACCCAAAACTGCACAAAGTTTTCCTTCTTTTAGTGAAAGAGAGAATACACAATCAGATCAACAGGACGTTGGAGCTCTTTGTTACGAGCCTCCTCGGTTTCCAAGCTTGGATGTTCCATTCCTCAGCTGTGATCTTGCTGCACCATCCACCAGTGAGATGCAGCAAGAATATAGTCCACTCGGTATCCGTCAACTTATGATGTCCTCTATGAACTGTCTTACTCCATTTAGGCTATGGAACTCGCCTTCCCGTGATGATAGTCCTGATGCTGTGCTGAAAAGTGCTGCTAAAACTTTCACTAATACACCATCAATTTTGAAGAAACGCCATAGGGAATTCTTTTCACCCCTTTCAGAGAAACAACGTGACAAGAAGCAAGAGATTGATATTGGCATTAGTAGAACATCATACCCGACAAGCAATTCTAGAGACTCTGAAGATAAGGAAAATATTATTCCTGTAGAAGAAGGGAGGCAAGAGAAGCAAAGCGATGGTAGTAATATTTTGCTTAGCTGCAGTTTCCAGGAGAACAAAAGGCAAGAACTGGATAATGCTGTGAAAACCGAGGGCGTCGACACTGTTGGCCAAACAGTGAGTTCTTTCTTTATATTCTTTTGTTTTCGATCGGACTCGTAAAATAATCATGAGAGTCACCTTCATATTTTTTCCGTACACAGGTCCAACCGCCTTCACGCATCCTTGTTGAATGTGACATGAATGATTCGCTCTTGTATTCTACGGATCACGATGGTGTTAGAGCGGATACTAACAGGGGTTCAAGTGACGAAATTTCTGAAAGTCAGTGTAGAACCTCAACAGCTTTACAAGATCTGGACTTCCCTTCAAAATTATCCGACGATCAGTGCACACGTGCAAACTGTTCTATTGCCAATGAAACGAGTCATGGAAGGTATCCTCCAACAGCTCCCCCTGAAATTATTGGTGATGATGCCTCAAAGGAGCCCTCCATTGAAACCTTGTAAGATTTACTTTTCCAGCCCCTCAGTTTATTAGTTTATAGTTGGGAAAGAATCCTTACACACAACACAGTTTTCAACTCTGATTTTCACAACAGTTCTGAAAAATAATTGCCGGATTTGGTAGTTATTTTGTTTTTGATTTTCTGTTTTTGAAAAACTAACCTTATAAAACCCTATTGCACCTGTAGTTTTCTTGCTTTATCACCTAAGTTTTTGTTATGTACTTTTTTACAAATGTTTTCAAAATGCAAGCTTAAGTTACAAAAAAAGTTGATTTGTTTTTTGAATTTGGCCGAGAATTCAAATGTTTCCTAAAGATGAAAACAACAAAAATCCACCATTATCATCATAAGGGGTTTAGAAAAGTTGTTTTCAAAAACTTGATTTTGCTTTAAAAATTTAGATTAAAATTCAAATATATTTTCAAGTAAGGTAAACAAAATGGTTATCAAAGGAAACTTGGTATCTTTTTGTCTATAGCGTTTGAAGTTGGGATTTTACTGCTATTTTCCTCGGAGTATTATTCCATACGCCCTCTCATTTGACGACATTTGTTTCTAGATTCGGTGGAACTCCATTCAAGAGAAGCATCGAATCTCCTTCGGCATGGAAGTCGCCATGGTTCATAAACTCTTTTCTATTTGGTTCAAGAATGGACAGTGATGTAGCAATGGAGGTATCATTATTGTCTATATAATTATTTTGATTCGTTTCTTAGGGTCTCTTCTGTTCTCATGATTTTGAGCTTGTTTGCAGGAAGTTGGATACTTTATGAGCCCAGGGGATAGAAGCTACGATGCAATTGGGCTGATGAAACAGGTAGGTGAGCACACTGCCGCTGCTTGTGCGAATGCTCAGGAGGTTCTGGGAGATGAAACGCCACAATCCTTATTGAAAGGAGAACGGAGGAAATATGGGAACCGGATCAAGGAGAAGAGTCCAGCAACCAACGCTAGACAAGGGGTCGCCCATTCCACTTTGGCTCCGGATATTTTGGTACGCTCTCTCTCTCTCTCTCTCCCCTTAATTTTCATGGACGGAAGTACAAAAATAGAATATAAAATATAGGTTAATTTTGGGTTTTTTTTTTTAAAAAAAATAAAATAAAATATTTTGAAAATTTTCAAATAAAATGTTTTAATAGTTTTCAACTTAGTGTGGGCTGCTGGAAAATGTTAAATCATTGGTTTGATTGATGATAATTGGTGGAAATTTAGTGGAAGGAAGGGCTAATCTGAGGGGAGAGTTTTTTATTTTTCTAAATTTTTAAAAAATTGGTAGAGATTTCTAAGTTTTTTTTTTTTTTTTCACCAATTTTTTAGTAGTATATCGTAAAGTAAATTTATCGTTGATCAATTATAATTTTCGATAATAGTATGGGATATAAATTGAAAACTTTATATAGATATAATTGAAACATTTTAACGTATAAAGACTTTTTGAAAAAGAAATATCTAAGCGCTAAGAACTAAAACACCATGGATTATGTTGTTTTTGTAACGAAGTATAAAAGCCATGACATTTTAAATTTCTTTTTATTTTCTTTCAATATTATTTAAAGATTTCTGATTTCAACTACTCGATTAATATTTAAAATTTTATTTTTAGTTTTAAAATTAGGGTTAAGATTTTAATTACTGGGATTAGGATTTTATATTCAGGCTTAATTTTTAAACACGAAAAACTAAATACAAAATGATTTGTACTTGCAACTAAAAATTATTCTTACAAATTGATTAGAAAGTATATTAAATCTGTTCTCTGTGTTCAACAAGTGATAAGAAAAAGTATATTAAATTATTTTTTTATAGATTACAAATCCAATATTAATTTCATTATATGATTATAACTCACGTCGTTGAAAATCTTTAATATATTTTTAAAAATCTTTTTGTAGGATAAACTGCCAACTTATTTCTATTTCTATTTCAATAATTATTTGTTTTTAAAAATCGTACTTTTATTTTATTTGAATGATTAACAAGTTTGAAAATCTATTAAAAAAGTTTACTTTTTTTAGTTTTCAAAATTTGACTTTTTTTAAAAAACGGTAAAAAATAGATAACAAAACAACAAAAGAAATTCGCAAGTAAAATTCCTCTATCATAGTTTTCATTTTTCTTTAAATATAGAATTCGAATTTTAGTCATTCTTTAGTTTTTAAAGGATATTGTCAGAAAATTGATTATAAATATAATTTTAAAAAACAAAATAGTTATCTTGATTGAAAAACAGAAGCATTTCTACCTAAAAAAAACGTAAATTCACAACTTTTTTTTATTTTATATTTTCGTTGTTTATTTATTTTTTGTAGAAAGAGCGACGGATACTTGACTTCAGCGAATGTGGGACACCTGGCAAGGGAACTGAAAACGGAAAATCGTCTAGTGCAAGTGCAACTGCGAGAAGCTTCTCAAGTCCCTCTTCTTACCTGTTGAAAGGCTGCAGATAGTGTATTTCAAAGTGTTAAAAAAGTTGGAAATCAGTCTCCTTAATCTCAGGTTAATTATATTTCGTAAAATGTATGTTTATGATTTGTTCAATATATCCTTTTAAATTATTCCTTTTCGGGAAAAAGAAAAGAAAAACATATGGGGAGGGGCATTATGCTCGTCGTACCTAATGTATTCTATTCTTTATTCAATAGATAAAAAGATGTGTTCACTAATTATCAGCAAATGAGTAAAAAAGTTTAACCTCCTAAAGCAATGGAGAAGGTTTCATTTTTAGGCTGTCACATGAATTTCAAATTAGAAGGATCTAAACGAAATCATTATTCAACTCTCAAAAAAATAAATGATCTTTCAATTTTGACCTCAGAGAAGATTAGGATATTTGATAAAGAAAAATTAAATAGCTAAAATTCTTACTAATGTATCAATTTGCACCATTTGAAATGTCGTCTTTCAAAAACGTAAGTTTCCATATATGAAACTTATAATTATATCAATCAAACTCCTAAACTTTTGTAAGTGAATCAATTTAGACTATTTATTTCAATCAATTAAGGATTTTGAAATAGATTTGTAAAAATTAATACATAAACGATTTTTAAATTGGGAGTCTAAATTAATTCACTTACCCGAGTTTAAGAGTTGAGTTGATAAAATATAAGTTTACACACATATAAACTAACATTTTCTAAACAAAATCTAATAAATAGTTTAAATTGACACACTAATGAAAATTTAGATTTAAATTAATATAATTACTAGTTTAGAGTTTTATGGATACCACTTTAATATTTAGGTATAAATTGGTTCAAAAAAAAAAAAAGAAAACCGAACAATCTATTCCTCGGGCAAAAAAGTTGTATTAGATTTGAACTTTGGTTTTATCCAAATTATCTCTTTCTTCTTTAAAGCACTCAATTATAACATAAACTAATTGATATGTTGAAACTACCGGAGTAAACTTTAAACTCTACTAAAAAAATCTTGCTTCCAAGAGATGTTAGTCTTTCGGGAGTAACTAATGTTGTATTTTGGTTGCGCATCGTATCGTTAGTTCTTAATATATTTTAATGATAATACTTTAATTCGTTAGTTCTTAATATATTTTAATGATCATGCTTTAATTTAAAAATGTGATTTAAGCGGGATTTTAGTCTCTTACCTTGTATGGCGACTGTGGCGACAATTACTGCAATAACTCTGTTTCAGCTTCATTACTTGCAGCATCAGATTCCTTCCCTTATTGGTGCTCATGTGAAGTCAGCTTCTTCTTCCTCCATAAATAGCAGTCATTGGGTGCTCCCTGATCAAGTTAAACCAATTAGCCAAGTTTTAGAGTTATTAGTGCTTAAAGAGGCTTCTAGACTATCAATTTTTCATTTAAGGAGTTTTAAAAATTTCTAAAACCTCGGTGATCTATTCAATATTTCTTAAAATTTATAGATACATTAGACACAGGAAAAATATTAAAAAAAGACAAAATTTAAAAATAAGATAGTTTAATTTTCATGAAGCATATACTCTTAATTCAATAAGTTATTAAATAAGTTATTAATTTGAATCTTGTTCGAAAAAAAAAAGTTGAAGGCATAAACAATTGCTTTATACTCCACTTACGAACAACGCATATTTTTATATGTAACAATTTGATACAAAATTGATGAATTCAATAAATTGTAGGACTTCGTAATATTTTTAAAATCAAAGGTGAGTCTTCCTATTTTGTCATAACATTACGATTTACTTTTCTGATCGGAATTATACATCATAACACATATGGATGCATTTAATTTTCAAATCAACTTCATAACTGACTGATAAAGATGACATTTTACTCAATCTTATATACACATGCTTTAGCTTTGAACAATTCATAACTTTACTTTTCATGTAGCACTCTTGATAATCTTGGAACAAAACACTCAAATAGAATACTAGAAGTTCATAATTATAGGCTTATGTCAATTTCTTTTATAAATATTCTAAATAATTTTTCTTTTTGGGAGCTACTTTTATTCAGAAAATAACTCTTAAAATAACTTTTTTTTTTCTTTCTACCTATACTTTTCTTATTTCATGACATCGTAAAATTCATAAACATTAATAGGCCTCTTTATTGTGTTTATGGTTCAGATACAATCCAGATCATCAACTTATGGATAAAAGGAAAATAATATAAAATGTTGAAGTAAACAGTAAAATTACTAACTTAGGAAGTGTAAGAATCTAGAAATTTATATTAATGTTAGTATTTCTTTTTCAACATTTTCTTCTTTTTTACCATGATATTTGTTGTTTTTTTATTTAGCAAAAATTTAATATTTGAGGTTTAAAGAAATAAATTGTTCGGATACTAACAATAAACAAATAATGTAAGGAAAGTTCATTACGTACCGGTTATTTCCTCATCGACCGCCATCCATGACGGAGTACAACTTTCAGTTCGTTTTCCTTTAGCTGAAATATTAAGTGCTTGATGCTGCTGCGGCATTTTTTAAAAGAGTGGTTGGTCCAGCATTATTATAACATTTGTTATGGAAACAAACTTATTGAAAATAGACTTACAAAATAGAAACATAACTAAACCATCTAGTTTATAAAGCTTACCTTCTTGCAAGAGGTAACAAAATACCTCCAAAATTGAGGTCAATTGGATCCACTCAATGAGATCTGTCATATAAGATGGTCACTGGTTAAAAAAAGAACCTATCAGCTGGACTACAAACAACGAATTAGTTGAGAGAAAATCATATAAAATTATAGAAATGTGAATTCGATAGAAAATCAAAAGAGTGTAGAAATATAAAATAATTCAAACATCTCAGGAGTACTATTTGATACCTGCATGTGGCAATTTCCTAAATATTAATGCTATCGACACTGACCAATCTTTATCAGTAAGTCAGAACAAAAGATGATGGAATTTAGAAATACTGACATTTCGCATGCTCTTCTATATCAGATTATCGAAGCTGTGAAAGATTGAAGTGAAAGATTGAAGATAGACACTGACAAAGGCTATAGACACTGACCAATCTCTATCAGAAATTCAGAACAAAAGATGATGGAACTTAGAAATACTGACATTTTGCATTCTCTCCTATATCAGATTATCGAAGCTGTGAAAGATTGAAGATAGAATATCGAGAGCATCCACCTATAATATACAGTGAAAAACATTTCGGTTTTTCTGCCTATTATTGTTGTTTTCCTGCGAGGCAAACTTTAGGCTCCGCTTGAACCGGCGGAGGAAGAACAGCGGAATCAATCCGATAAGAATCACGCTCTCAAAAATCTTAGTAGAATATTACAAGAAGATAATCGTAACTTTTTTTCATCAGTTTTAAGCAACAAGAGATCCACATCATTCATGTTTTTCGGTTTACACCAACTTGAAGCCGTAACTCCAAAACAGAGCAATAATCAACAGCAAAAACAAAAACGCGAAGGATGCAGATTCAGGTAAAAGAAGGAAAAAAAAAAAAAAAAACAAGTAATCGAAACTCCTTTTCCAGAAGTTTCTTCACAATCGAGCACAGTAACATAATTTCGTAATTAGAGACGGCGAAATAATGCATACCTGCATCACGAAGATGAAAACTCGCACGGATAACGTATGAACAAGGAAAACAGAGTCCGATGCTGCAAAAACTCCAGAAATTTGCATCGAGAGAAGTAGAGAAAAATGTCTTGTGAAAACATCCATTGCAGATCCGCCGGTTTCCTCCTATGCGTTCTGAATACTCTCTATTCTTCGATAACCAAGACGCAGACTGCTTGAAAACTCGCACGGATAACGTACGAACAAGGAAAACGGAGTTCGATGCTGCAAAAACTCCAGAAATTTGCATCGAGAAAAGTAGAGAAAAACGTCTTGTGGAAACATCCATTGCAGATCCGCCGGTTTCCTCCAATGCGTTCCGAATACTCTCTCCATTCTTCGATAACCAAGACGCAGACTGCTAGAAAACGTTGGGTTTATTTAAGCTTTAGAACCCAACACGCCTTTTATACTTCCCTTTTTCTTCTGTGTGTTATTTTATTTTTTAATTATTATTATTTTTTTTTTTACGCGCTTTCGCTTTCTTTTGGCGCCCTTTTCAACGTTGAAAATATATTCACGGCCTATCCTCTCATTTTTCGTGCGAAAAAAATGTAATTCGAAGGAAAAAAAAAAAAAAGATTATTATAAACAATAACTAAATTTAATCCACACCGTCGAACCCGGACACTTAAAAAGCATCGAGCAATGATTGGCCAGATCATAGTCGCGCGTCGCAGTGGATAATTTCCCAGCCAAAAGCCGGTGCTGGAAAAAAGAACCGGAACCGGAACCGCTTGATGGAAAAAAGGTCGGTCGAGCCGACAGAACAAAAGTCTTCCACCTCAGTACTCCATAACGAAAGTGGATCGTTGTTTTACACGTGGCGCTGTTTCAGTGGCCTTCCATTAAGTTCCATCTAATGCCTATTCGAAAGCAAACCAAAATGCGTCGAGCAAAAAATTAAAATAAAAAAAGGAAAAGAAAAGGGGAAAGTATTGTTCGTCGAGGGAAAGGGGGGTTACTGGCGATCTCGGGGCGGGAGGGCGATTTCGAGGGAGAGTCGACGGAATATTAAGCTATTTTATCCGGGAAATAATTTGCCGTCGCCGGTGGAAGCTTGTACGGTTGTCGAATAGGATTTTTTTCTTCCGATCGGGCGGTGTTGTTTGTGCTGAAGAGAGATGGTGAATTCCGTGGTGGCGCGTGCTACGAGCGATATGTTGATTGGTCCAGATTGGGCCATGAACATCGAGATCTGTGATATGCTGAACCACGACCCTGGGTACGCATTGCATCCGATTTGTTTGGTTGATTGTTTTTGTCGTAATTCTTTTAGTCTGATGTTCTTGTTTTGAGCTATTTTACATGATTGAGCGGAAGATTTGTTTGAATTTCGGTACAATGATTTTTGTGTTTTGTTGCTGAGAATTTGTTCGGCGCAAAAGGAATTGAGATTTTGAATTTGTTGTACTTACCAACTGAAGATTCAAGAAAAGCCAAATGGAAACTGGTTTCTTGCCTGTGTTCTTTTTTGCATTCAAATGTGTATCATAACTTGCGACTCAGCGATTGACATGCATCCCGATAAATGAATGAGTACTTTGAGCTTATTTTGCTGCGTATTGAGGTTGAGGATTTTCAATTAGGTTTTCGTTTAATTTGATTCATTGATGAGTCTTCCTTTATTCCGTTGGATGTTGGATTCGATTTGTTGTTTCTTTTTCATAACCTTTAGGGTTGGAGTTCACCATTTCACAAATTTTCAGGCAAGCGAAAGATGTGGTTAAAGGTATAAAGAAACGCCTTGGAAGCAAGAACGCAAAAGTCCAACTTCTTGCCTTGACGGTAAGTCCTAAGATCGATTTATGTTTATACTCCGTATCATATTGACTTCTTTGGCATTATTTACTCTATTCGTTGCTCAATAGTTTACTTCTTTGGACATCAATATCTATGCTGCATGCTAGCTACGGGATTTGTTTCTTAAAAAGATCAAAGAATATGCTGTCTGTAGTATCGCGTAGATGGTATCTTCTTTCTCACCAAAAAAGAAGTAAAAACACATTATTTCCTGAATCTGTTCTTTTTTGTTCTAATGGAGGCAACTACTGCGAGTCTGATTCATTTTTTTTTTCTAAATGGATTATGTCATGGTTCAATCACTGTCATTGATCAATATCTAAGTTAGGGTTTTAGATTTCACTGATTGGATGCGTAAGTATCACAAATAGTCACATATTCAGAAAAAGAAAAAAAAAAAGAAAATTTTTGTAACTCCCTTCTTAGTACGGTATATGTTATTGTGTTCATTAGCTACCGGATACCCTAAACCCGATCCACCTTTAAGCTCACGTTACTTGTTTCCTGCAGGGATGTTCAGTTTACTAAATCTTGGTATTCTATGTTTTAGTGGATTAAGTTAATTTTTTATTTTGTCTTATCTCTACATTCTAGCTTTTGGAAACGGTCATTAAGAATTGTGGGGACATTGTTCATATGCATGTGGCAGAGAAGGGCCTTCTTCATGATATGGTAAAAATGGTGAAGAAGAAGGTAAGTTTTCATTTAGAATGTTTTTGTTGCTTTCTTGTTTCACCCGTCATTCTTTCGTAAAATAACCTCCCAGTATTTGTGGGCGTGGTGTAGCCTGATTTTCGCGTCAAAGAGAAGATATTGATTCTGATAGATACTTGGCAAGAAGCTTTTGGAGGACCTAGGGCAAGATATCCACAATACTATGTCGCATACCAGGAGTTGTTGGTAAGTGTCGAAAGGCATTTTTTGAAGCATGTTTTTGCAGTTGAGGCTGATTGAATTCAGTAGAAATACTTTATTCTTTGAGTTTCGGGCATTTTTGCATGGCTGTGCGCATCGACTGAGTTCTATATTTTCATGCACCATCTTTTGCTGGTTCTTTGTTTCAGCGTGCTGGGGCAGTTTTCCCCCAGAGGTCTGAGAGCTCTGCACCTGTATTCACCCCACCACAAACACAACCGTTGGCATCTTATCCTCCAAATCTACGGAATACTGAACGTAATCAGCAGGATAATGCCGAGACCTCTTCTGAGTCTGATTTTCCGACCTTAAGGTGCCAAACTTCTTTTATTCTCTTATTTCCATCATCAAAGTGTTTTTGTCCATTATTTGAATATGGTTAATAGTAATGGAACTACGAATCTGATTTTGATTCCATATTTCCAGCCTGACTGAAATTCAAAATGCCCGTGGAATTATGGATGTCCTTTCAGAAATGCTTAATGCATTAGAACCAGGGAATAAAGAGGTACTTCATCAGTTTAAAATGAAAGCAAAACTATAATGTATCCCATGACTTACTTGGGATGTTTGTTGTTCTTCCATCAAAATGGATGTTGTGTGGATTCTTGACTATATTCATGTTGGGGTATCTCATCTTGCAGGCTATTAGACAGGAGGTTATTATTGATTTGGTTGACCAGTGCCGTACTTATAAGCAGAGGGTGGTTCATCTTGTTAACTCAACTGCGTAAGACCTCATACTTATAGTTGCTTTTATGCATGTTAGTGCGACTATTGAGATTTTTGTTTTATGATTATTTAATTTTTTGCATTCACATATTCTTCCAGTTTGTGCTTGCACAAATATGCTTCCTGGTTTTCAATTTATCCTTAAAATAGAGCAATTATATATACATAAAAATTAGACAAAGAACACCTTGGAAAAGCATGTAACCAAGCTGTATAAACCACTTCTTTCAAATCCTTCCCCTTTTCACTGAACTTTTGGAATTCCTTCAGTTCAATATTCTATAGTATTGCTTTTATTGCATTCCTCCGCATAATCTTAAATCTTTCTTTTTCTTATCAATTTATGGCCGCACAAAAGTAGAACCATATTTCCCTTAAGCCAAGGAATTACAAAAGATTTCCAACTGACTTGTATCAAGAAGAAAGTTATTACATGGAGAATGACTTCGTATGTCTAACCGTCTTTGGGATTGTTGGAGGAGCCCATTTGGGGCTAGTGGGGTGTGCAATTGAGATGGCTATCTCTGCTGGAGGAGGTACTTCAGTATTCTCCATTTAGGGAGAGAGCGAAGTGTTGTGCCAGGTCAACTTCTTTGCAGTGTTGTTGGCTTGAGAGGAACAATAAAATTTTAGAGATAAAGAGAAGTTGAGAGAAGAGGTTTCGAAGGTTGTTAGATCTAGTACCTCTTCACGGGGGTCGTCGGTCATTAGTTTTTTCCTTTTTTCTTTTTGGGTAATTATGACCTTGGTCTTGTTCTTTTGGATTGGAGTCCCTTCTTTTCTGTTTTTTGTATGTCTTTGTACTCTTTTGTTCTACAAAATTTTGGCATCTTATTAAAAAAAAAAAAAAAAAAAAAAAAAAAAAAAAAAAAAAACTTGTGTGCGCTGCTTCTTTAATGGCATACATGAACATACACTCAAAATTTCTGGACAAAGTCACTTGTTCATGCAATGCACATACACTCAAAATTTCTGGACAATGATTCTTAATATATTCGGATGACATCTCACATTTCCTAGGGAGGTAAAGGATTTTTTGGATATGGCCTTAATGTACCACCCTTTCAAGAACGCAAAAGCCGTATTATGGAAAAACCTCATCATGGCTTTCTTTTGGAATATGTGGAAAGAAAGAAATCAGAGAATATTTGCAGAAACGACACAGACGTACACAAAACTTTTCGACAATATTGTTTACCAAGCTATATCTTAGTGTAAACTGTCTAATATTTTTACTTCCTATAGTTATACCTCCCTCATTGCAAATTGGGAAGGTCTTTTGTAAACATCATGGATTATACATCCCTCTTGCAAATTTCACTCATCAATCAAATTGTCTCTTATAAAAATAAAAAAAAAATAATAAAAAAAAAAAAGCCTACATGAACTATTAATTGTGGTTTTGTTGAGTGAGTTAGCTTTAAGTATTTATTGGGTCATTCAAGTAGAACAAGCATTGTATATTGCTTTCAGCACTACTTATTCTGGTGCAGGGATGAATCACTACTTTGCCAAGGACTTGCACTTAATGATGATCTGCAGAGGCTTCTTGCGAGGCATGAATCCATTTCTTCTGGAAAACCTGTTGTTCAGAAACCAAAGTCTGAATCTCCTACAGCACTCGTTGATGTAGACCGGCCTCTTATCGACACTGGAGATAACAGCAAACAGCCTGAGAATAAGTAATTATTTATAGTATATTGCATGTCTCATTATTTGTTTTTACCATATTTTGATTGTGCATTGATGTATAATTGTTCTGCAGAGCTGCCTCAACTGCCGTCGAAGGTTCTCAAACCCTGAACCAATTGCTGCTTCCTGCACCTGCTGCAACTAATGGTCCAGCACCTCCAGCTAAAGTTGAACCCAATGTGGATCTGCTGAGCGGTGACTTCAATTCACCAAAGGCAGAGACTTCATTGGCTCTTGTTCCTCTTGAAGAGCAACAAGCCAATCCTCCTGTATCTGATCAAAATGCTCTTGTTCTTTTTGACATGTTCTCGGATGGTAACAATGCCGCCTCTAATCCTGCAAATCCTCCTCCTATCAGTCCTGGTGCGCAACCCCACCCACCTTCCCAATTTCAACAGCAGCAACCTCACCCACCTTCCCAATTTCAACAGCAACAACCGCCAAATGTTCACTCACCACAAGGTGGATATTATCCAAATGGGAATGTCGCGAACATGGGTTCGCCTAATTATGAGCAATCGATGTACATGCAGGGGCCTGGTTCTTCCTGGAATGGTCAAATTCCTCAGCAGCACCAACAACAGCAGCCCTCTTCACCTGGCTATGGTACTTTTATCTCATGTTGCTTCACCCTTGCCTTGCATTAGAATGCTTGATCATGATTCTTATTCCGGTATCACTTAGCTGAAACATGACAAAACTCCACATCTTTGTGTTTCCATGTGCTGAAGCCTGGGTTTCTGTGTTCTTTGTTTGAGTTCGACGTGTAAACATATGAAAAACTTACACGACGTTGGTTTGTGTGACAGGTTCGCAAACAACTGGTTCATTGCCACCTCCACCATGGGAAGCTCAGTCTTCTGATGGTGGCAGCCCTGTAGCAGGATCTCATTACTCTCAACCGATGCAGGTTACTACTCAGGTTATTGTCTCACACGGACTCAGTGGACATCCCCAGGGACCTCAGTCAATGGGGAACGAGGTTGTAGGTGTAGGAATGTACATCCAACCGATAACAAGTGGTCACTTGTCTAACATGAATAGCCATGTTAATCCGAACCACCAGTTGGGGCTGCACCCACAGCAGATCCCGGGTATGCAAAATGTGGGTATGCCAATGTCTCCACAACAAGCGCAAGCTAACCAGATGCCACAACCCTATTACCCTCAACAGATGTATGGAAACCAAAACCCATACAACACTGGCTATGGCTATGGCTATGGTCATGGTCAACAACCGCAAGTCCCACAATATCTCGAGCAGCAAATGTATGGCATGTCCGTTCGAGACGATATGAGTATGAGCCATTCGTCTTCTCAGGCTTCGGCTTTATCATATCTGCCTCCCATGAAGCCAGCCAACAAGCCAGAGGATAAACTGTTCGGGGACCTCGTCGACATCGCTAAATTCAAACCTGGAAAGTCCACTCCTGGCAGAGCTGGCAGCATGTGAAATCATCAGAACCCATTTTTCCTTCGCTTGTTTAATGCCTTCCCCTGTTTTACATTGCATTCATATAGTGTTTGCCTTTTAGCCCTTCATTCTTGTTGCCTGTTTGAGTATTGAAATCGTGTACATTTCTTGTAGAGGGATGGAAAAAGGAAAAAAAGCCTTGGGAGACCACCTGCCCTGAAATTGGACTTCTGTTGATTTTTTTTCCCTTTTCTTTTTTAATAAATAATTTTAGTGTAAGCTTCATCTCTCATTCATTTTAGTCTAGTCGCATTTATCAATAAATTCTTTTAACATGTTTCGTAATATTGTGCCATGTACTAATTTATTATTATTATTTAGTATTCTATCGAGTAACAAAATAATATTTTTTTAGTAGAATAAATTGTAGGTTAGAAACAAGACATAGGGTTAGATTTACTAAACTAACAATCCCCACCACGTAATAGTGCACCTACACGTCTTCATCGTTGTTTTTTTAACTGGAAGATCGCGACTTTGGGCTATCTAGACACATACAATGGTTCGTGAAATTATTTTTTTTAATTATTATTTTGAAGTAAAAAATTATTTTTAAACTAGAAAAGAGATTTTTATGAGGTTAAATTATAAAAATAGAAATAAAAATCTTGATTTATTTATTATTATTTTTTTTAGAAATTTGTTCAAAATAATATACTCTGAATAAAAAATTTTATTGAAAAAAAAGTAAAAATTAATGTAATAACTCGTTAGGTATAAATTAAATTAATTTTTTTTAGATAAACTAAATGGTTACAATAATCTTAATTTTTAACGGTATATATATTTTTAGACTAATATAATATTTAAAAAAAAATTGGTAGTTGCTTCAAATATGAACAGTTTTTTTTTTTTTTTTTTTAAATAAAGAAATTCAAGTTAAAAGGATAAAAATTAAGAATCTACCAAAAAAAAATCTAAAGCACATATATATCATATATATATATATATATATAATGGAAAATTGAGTTAAAAATAAATAAAAAAACTGGAAAAGTAAAATCTCAATTCCCGAGATTCGGCAGCAGGAGTCCAACGGATAAAGGAAGACGCCCAGTCGTGAAAGGTTGCTGATACGATAGACCGCAAACCACGTTCCATAGATATCCTCTCCGATTAAGGCTTCGGCGCTTCGCCCTTCGCGCATCTCCGAATTAGAATTACCTCGACCTGGTTTGTGGACGACAAATCGATCGTGTTGGTGATTGTAAGTGTTTCTATTGTTCTGTTTTTCACAATTTCCGATTTGTTCTAATTCGCGATTATTCTGCTTGTAAATGATCATATTTGCTATCGATTTCTGTCAATTTGTCTTTCTCTGGTTTCTCCAGAAGAAATTCCCTAATCTATCAATTTCCATTTCTTTTCTTTTTGTTTTCCTCCGCGGTTTCTTCTCTAGGGTTTGATATATTATGGATACAACAAATCCTTATGATTTTACTCATGATAGTTCATTCTTTTGTAGAGTTTCTTGAACCGATTGCAGTTTTTCTGCCGGTAATTGTGTTGGTTTGAGATTTGAGAATTCTAGGCTTGAAGCTGCTTGTGTCGTCTGCAAGCATCTATAATGCAGGTAAGCGACTAGAATTAGTTATATTGCTTTTTCTTGATTCTTGTGTCATCTGAAAGTAGATACACTTATGATATTGACCGTGAATATAATGACCTTACAGCCATAACTTGCGTTTTGCTATGAGAAGTGTTACTCATTTGGAATGCGGGAGTTGAGTTCATTTTGTTAATGGACGATTTGCAATGTTTCGAGTATATATTAACTGACAATGTGTAGAACTACTAACTTTTGTAATTGATTGATCTTCCATTTCGTTTAACGTTACGGTGTTCTTTATCTCGTGGATATTTGTTTTGAACCTATAATCCTGCAAAGATAAATGTCAATATGAGCGTAGTTTGAGTAGTTGTTTATTAGTATCTACTTTATGAGCGGTAGGTTCAAAACTTTTCTCATTTATAATGTAACATTGTCAAAATCTATCAAGTTAGGCGTTTTTCCTCGTTGTGGCTTCATTGAAATTTATCTTGGCCATTCAGATTTTATATATTTTTTTTTGAGGTGAGGAATCGAGCTTTTAAGAACTATGAAAAAATGACCACGGCATACAAAGAACCAAGCCTACAAAAAAGGAGTCCACCCATTAACTGTGAGATCCCACGTTTATTGGAGAGGGGAACGAAGCATTCCTTTTAATGATGTCGAAACCTCTCCATAGAAGATGTGTTTTAAAACTTGAGGGGAGGCTTGGAAGGGAAAGCCCAAAGAGGAGAATCTCTGCTAGGGGTGGACTTGGGTTGTTACAAATGGTATCAAAGTCAGACACCGGGCGGTGTGCCAGCAAGGACGCCGAGCTCCCAAGGGGTGGATTGTGAGATCCCATATTGATTGGAGAGGGGAACGAAGTATTCCTAAAAATGTCAAAACTTCTCCCTAGCATATGGTTTTAAAACGTTGAGGGGAAGTCCGGAAGGGAATGCCCAAAGAGGACAGTATCTGCTAGTGATGGGCTTGGGCTATTACATTAACTATTGAAAAAAAGACTCCAATCGAAAAGGATTAAACCAATCTTATAATTACAAAAGGCTTAAGTAACAGATGGCCACAAGGATACATTAAAAACCTAGCAAATTCCCAGACCTCCTCCCACAGTCTCTCCACCTCCCTAAAAGTTTACTGTTTCTCTCAATTCGAATTCTCCATTTTACAACAAAGAAACAAGTCTGCCACAAAACTTTATCCTTATCCATAGCACTGCGATCCCTACCTCGAGTCAAACATAGCCTCGAGCAGTTCAAGTTTGATTTCATTCCATGTCTGAACTTCTGCTGATTCTTTCTTCCTCATTCCCTTATGGAAAGTACATAAGTCTCTGTTTAGTGGTGATCAATAACAGTATGCAGTATTTGGGTTTTCTTCAAAGCTTTTATATTTTTGGATTCATCTGCATTTTTTTTAATGTGATTGTATGATAGTAAATTTCTACCTCATATTTGTCCATAATCATAGAAAACTAATTTTCTTTTATGTCGGGGTTGATTTTAATTACCTTCATGCTGATTTGTTACTGAACAGCTATTATGATTAAAAGTTGCAAATAGATATTAGCTTCCAGAAATTTATTGACTGTTCTATTTACTTGAACTGCATCGAGAATTTATATAGCGGTTTTGTAGGCCTCAAGAGCAAGGTTGTTCAAAGAGTACAAAGAGGTTCAAAGAGAGAAGGTAGCAGATCCGGATATTCAATTGGTTTGTGATGATTCCAATATTTTTAAATGGACAGCCCTAATCAAGGTAATGCTCTCAACGATCCCGATATAAAACTGAGTTAAGAGTTGTTTCTTACGGTGATTGATATGCATTATATTTAGGGACCGTCAGAGACTCCTTTTGAGGGCGGTGTTTTTCAGCTTGCCTTTTCGGTGCCTGAGCAATATCCTTTGCAACCTCCTCAAGTGCGGTTCTTAACGAAAATCTTTCATCCAAACGTTCATTTCAAGGTAGAAGTCAACTTGATCTTTTTCTAAATTGTGGGTTGACTCTGAGCCCTTCTGTCGCAATGGTTAATAGTATTAACTATAGTTGGCTAATAGCTGCATTACGACTCGAAATAATCTGTATTAGATCCGACTAATTTTCCACCAACAAGATTGCGGTAGGGATTATAAGAAGGCGATCATTGGGGAGGAAAGGGAAACGCTAAGGAGGGGGTACCGCTGTCCAAGGGATAGTAGTTAGCAGCAGGATTTAGGTCTCTCTTAACTAAACAAATAAATGCTTAGCCTCCATACATGAGGGTGAGTTGAGTAGGAAGAAAGTATATGGAAGGAAGTATATAGGATTTAATATCCTATCAGTCACTTTGAGGGTCAGATGTTTGTCCTTTGAGAATAGTTGAGGTGCACACAAGCCGGCCTGTACACTCTTGGATATATAAAAAATATATTAAAAAATCTTATGGATTCTAGGGAGGTGTAACGATGAAATGAATCAATTTAATGAAACAACCGGTGTGGTGTTCGGGTTTGGAGAAGAGTTTAAATAATTGTCATGAAATGACCGATATAAGGTTGAAAACCCTAGCGAATCCACCGGGTCGAAATGGAGTGCATCAAAAGTTGACAAACCCTATAGGACAAGGTGGAGTTGCAATTAGGGTGAATATTTTTATGGGTGAGTTTGATGATGACCTCTCCGCTCGAGATGGGATTGGGAGTAGGAAGCTAGATGCACTCATGTTTTATGGCGAGGATTCGAAGCGTTGGACATCCATATGAGTGAATTCTGGTTGCGGAAGCTGCAGCCTCGAGGGAGAGTTTACAGTGTTCTTCATCCATATGAGTGAATTCTGAACTTTTCAGTTGTTGAACCATACTTTACATGTGTCTCTGTACCTTCCTGCAGACGGGCGAGATCTGCCTCGATATACTGAAGAACGCGTGGAGCCCAGCATGGACTCTGCAGTCTGTTTGTAGGGCTATAATTGCTTTGATGGCTCATCCCGAACCTGATAGCCCGCTAAACTGTGATTCTGGTGAGTTTACATGGATTCCTTATGATGAAGCTTTCTGATTTACATGTTTATTTACTGGGATCTGTTTGATGATGTGATAAAACTGGTTCTGGTGGGCAACTGAATTTTTGGGAGTTCGTTATTCTAAAATTTCTTTTTTGGAGTATTCCCTCCAAGCTAGACGATTTTGGTGGGTCGGGTTGGCCAGGGTCTTGGCCAACACTGATGTAAACTAACCCATCGATTTAAGAAAATACGAACCCACTAAGACTGAACTAAGTCGATCAGCTAATGTTCAGTTATATATTTTGAAATTGAATCGACTGATAACATTTTATAGTCAACGAGATATTAGGGATAGGCTGGATGCTCAGAGGGTCAAGCTCACCTATCGGTTGAGTCCATTGCCTGAACCTCGTAAACTCTGTCTTTGTCTTCTCTCCATTCTTTGCATTACTGATGATCCACAAGCAAGGTAAGTAGGTCTATTACGGGCCAGCTCCAGAACGAAAGACCTAACGGAGTAACTGTGGTAACTAGGGTTAGGTTTTTGGCATAGGAGTTATGAAAAATTGAACTTATAAACACTATTTTCACTTGTGAATTTCTTTAGAACTGAAATCATATTATAAAATGGGGGCTTGGGCTTTCCTCTTGGAGGTAAACCGATTGATCCTTGTTGCTCGGGTTCACAAAC